GCAGACCGTGTCGAGAGGACGGCGATTCGTCCTCGTCGTGGGCGGCTACGACGCACCCTACGCCTACACCGGGAGGTCTTGACGTGTAGAACGATTCAACACCCCGATCAATCAAACGTCCTACACGAGTGCAACATCGACCTCGACCTCGAGTAGAGTGCGTACGTGTGCACGGCCAGAGAGGCAGGTCGCGAAAGTAGTGGCCAACCTGGCAACCTTTCCAAACTATACGTTCGTACTACAAGGTGGGCATACATCACAGCACAGGGAGTTAATGTTAGTATCTTGTTTTTTCTTAACACACCCTATGAACGTACCCACGCATATCCTATTTCTGAGTCGGCACATCATTTTGATATTGATGAAATTGTCACAGGCGTCTCCGTAGTCGACGGAAATGTCTCTCCCATCAAACGCACATTGCCGGAAGGCCTGAAATAAATACAGAAAAAAAGCGAGCATCAATGTCAAGTCTGTGACTTGAACTCTGATGGGCAGGATATCGTTGTCCTCTTAACCATCCAACCACAGGTTGGTTCATATCATCGTATCTTGTTAGCCAGAGGAGCTGCATGATCCGGCAATAAGCTCATTTTCATTTATTTATACTAGCGAAAAGGCCCGTGCGTTGCAACGGAAAAAAATACCACACGCTCTTAATTTACAAAAAATATTTTATAATCTGAGAATTTGTAGCTATTTATTAAATACATGAAGAGTTAAAAAGGTTGTTAAAAAGATACATAATTTTTTTAATCATAAAAGTGATTTTTTTATCTCGAAGAGAACATTTTTTTATGGTCTCCTGTTGACGCAGGTACTTGCGCCCCTATTTAATCACTATTTCTTGCCATACATGTTATAGGTATTGGTCCTAGTTTCATCACTATTTATTTCTTATCAAACTTGTCTTTTATTTTAACTTTTTGTCATACATGCCTCCTTTTTATCTTTTTTCATGCATGACCTCATTTTCTTCTTCTTATATGTAGGAGAATATCGCAACATCTCATCTTTATCGGATCTCCTCTGTATTTTCTCTTTTATTTATTTATTTATTTTATAGCGGACATCCCATCTTTATTGGGTCCTTTTATTTCTTGTCATGCATGTTCTTATTTATTGAGTGTGTTTAACAATTTTATCTTCAATCTGATGTTCAATCCTGATTTTGTTGAGGTGTTCATCCCCAATCTGAATCAGTACCGGTATGAAAAAAAGATGGATAAGCATTGTTGACTAACATTGCAGCCTAGATAGTAGTTTTTTTAATTGTTAATAGGTAAAATAACACCATATTTAGATTCTACATAATTTTCTACACAAATTCCATATATAATATGTTAAATTTGAAGTTACGGTTTAAAAGTATGAGTATTTTAAAAAACATTTGATATGTACAGCGGGTTTAATGTCAGAAACATCAGAGGTTTTTCTATAAAATAGCATGACGGACTAAGAATACCTATTTTTTTATTAATAGGTATAGATTAGATATGTAAAATTCTAAGTTCAAACACAAATTCAGCTATGAGGTATGAAGAAGCAAAGTCGTCAATGGATAGTATCACTATTCATCACTTTATTTGTTTTTAATGCACTGTAAGTAAGTAAGAGCGTCTCCACTCGTTCGGCCCCCTAGTGCACCCGGCGATTGCATTTTAACCTATGCGCCGACGGTTTTTTAGCCCTGGGGTGATCCAGTTCCCAGCCGCTCCCCCATGTTTCGGCCCTAAAACGCACATAAATTCAAACTTGTCTTTCCCGCAACCAAAAAAATGCCACAATTTCGGCTATCACCATGCCACAGTCCAGTGATCCAACATATACGGAAGTTCAACGTTCAAAAGGAAGGACGCGTAGACAAATGAATGCATCAAATGATGGGCTCCTCTAGCATCGGCGTGCTCGGCGTCGACGTGGCTTTTGTGATCGGGCTGGTCGGCGTCGGCATGGCTTCTGTGCTCGGCGTCGGCGTGGCTTCCGTGCTTGGGCTATGCATCGGCGTTGGGGTCGGCGTGAGCGTGGTGGTCGAAGGCATCTAGTTCAAGATGAGTCCGCGCTCTGCTGGGTACCACGCTTTGACCTGCTCGTCCATCGTCGACAGGTCCGCCCCTATCAAGAATGCCAGTGTTCCTCTTCTTCGCGGCGACGTTGGTCTTGAGAAGGTCGAGCTTCACGTCCTGCTTCGTCACCAACGCCGACCACCACGCTTTGGATTTCTCCTTCCTCTTTGCGACGATGCTCTTGGTATTGGCGATGCACTCGTCGATCGATGATTGCAGCGTCTGTTGGAAAAGGCAGTGCCTAGGAGGCGCTTAGGCACGCCTAGGCGTTAGGCAATAGCCAAACGCCTCGCCTAGGGCATAAATGGAGGTCTAGGCAGGGCAAGCAATGAATTGCCTACCCAAGCAAGAAATCATGCCACATACTGCACTTATATGCCAAACCGGCTATAATCCAATGGCGGTAGACGGTTATTAACTTATTTATATGCCCTAAACTAATATCAACACCCATATAATAATCACAAATACACTACGAGTAAAACTATATTACCGCCTAGGCCACGCCTAGGGCGCTTAGGAACCGCCTAGGCACTAGGCGAAGGCCAACTGCCTCGCTTACGCCTACCGCTTTTTCCCACTCGACAGCCGGTGTCGTGTCCCTCTTTGTCTTGGCTCTTTTGTTGCCATCAGGGCGCCCATCCGCCGCCCTCGGGGCGGGCGTGTCCGGCTTGTATGTCTCCTTGGCCTTGGCGAGGGTGAGCCAAACATCCCTCCACTTCTCGCACAACTCAATCCGGGAGAACACGTGAAGGAACTTGAACTCTTGGTCGCTATTGTCCTCGCGGTACATGTTGAACATCCGAACCATCTGCGCAGCTGAAGAACAAGTGTCGGCGACGTACACGGCGAAAGAAGTGAGCCAGCGGCTGGACATACCTGACCCTCGACGTTGGCATCGCTTTCCGGGCCGACGAGCCGCGATCTCATCGACGATCCCATGTCATTTGTTGCAGGCCGCATGGATGATTGCCCAATGGTTCGACATGGCCTTGTAGCCCTGCTCCATGTGGATGGTGGCTCAGTAGGGGTCGACCAACTTGCGCTCATCGAACGCCGACTTGATCTGTCTCTAGTACGAGTCGGCGTTCTGGTTCGCGCCGGTGATCGGGTCGATGCTGACGGTCTTCCATGCTTCGGCGAGGCACTCGTCTTCCTTGGACGTCCACTTGACGCACGACTCGCGCGGCCTGGCATTGATCGCTCGCTTCTTCTTTATCCCTTTCCTTGCTGGTGCTGGCTCCATCTCCTCCTCCTCTTCCTCCTCCCCATCCTTGGCGTCGTCGAGCTCGCCGTCCATGTCGACGGCGGTGTCCACTGGTTCGTCTTGCGCGTGGAACCCGGGGTAGGAGGCGGCGGCGACCGAGCCGCTCGTGATGATCTCGTCCATGTCGGCGTCGGTCGCATCGGGGTTGCTGAATTGTGGCGTGATGTTTGTGAGAAGGCTAGGGCGCCTCGGCGCAGAGGTGGCGTCGACGAGGCTGAGTATGCCGGCGACGAGTAGTTGTACTGGGTGTGGAGGCCGGCGAACGCGGGCGACGAAGTGCGCTGGTCGGGGTTCAGACCGGAGGGTGGGGCACGTGGCGGCGCACCATGTGGGAAGGCGATGTTGGGGTTGAAATCACCATGCACGTTGCCGTTGGAGTAGCCAGGTGAGGGTGCATACCCCTAGGGTTGCGGTGGTGGCGAGAAGTTGGTCGGCGACGCGATGCTCTGCTGGCTCCACGTAGCCTACGGGCAGTGGCCGGGCGGATTCATCATCCGTGCTCTGCTGCCGCCGCCGACGCGGCGCGTCCCTGGCCTTCTTGGCGTTGAGCTTGTTCCGCCGGTCGGTGATGACAGCCTCCCGGCGCTGAACCTCCGCCCTTCACTCGGCGTTGGACACGCCTGATGGTTTTG